CCCAACATACACTGTTTCGAAATTATTAACACATAAAGTGAGTATAAATGATGGACCCGATTTTAAAAAGTCATATTATTGAAATACTGGACGTAAGTGATACATGAATGTAAAGATAAATACACAAAGTTTTTTTTCTGTTACAAAAATGTTCGCTGCGTGACGCTCTTGTTACACGGCATACGTCTAATCCATAATCCAGTTTGTTCCGTATATTTTGTAGCATCACTCTATGAATGATTCTTAAAGCTGCGCAAATGCTTACTTGTCGTCCTCTGTTGTTTTTCGAGTCAATTTCAAAAGATACGGCTTGAAATTTAATCGTTTTTGATATATTTTCCATACTGTTTTCTGGGACATTCCCGGTTCAGGGGCGGCAAGTCTCATAAACTTCCTTGAATTTCGAACGAAACTCTACCTCACACTCTTCACTGCTTTTTCCGAGACGCTTGGCCGCCATCTGCTTTTTAAAATCGGGTCCATCTTCGTACTCAACATGTATAAATTTTACCATTAAGCTATCATGTGTATTGAAAAACATTTTTACAGACCTCGCTTATTATTTTAAAAAGGACTTGAATTTCTAAAACTTATTTCTTTTTTAAGCCTTCGCAGCCCACTTCAGAGTCGATTTCCGTGAAACCCGTTCTTAGCAGATCTCTACTCAACAAACAAAACGTGCTTGCAAAATTTCAAGCCTTTAGGTCAGATAATACGGAAAAGGAAATTTTTTATTTTTAATACCCTGTAACTTCCGCAACCCTTCACAAAAGTTAATTTCCAGAAAAATCGTTCTTAATGGATCTCTACTGAACGAAAGAGACACATTTTCCGAATTTCAAGTCTGGTAATCGAATAACACAAAAATGACACATTCGCAACTTCTTATGGAAGTCCATTTTAATAAAACCCATCATTAGCAGATCTCTACTCAACAAAAGAAACATGCCCATCAAATTTAAAGTCTGTCTGAAACTTCGAAAACTGAAATTTTTTATCAATAAGCCTCCACTACTCTTTTGGTTAAATTTTCCCCTTTTAAAACCGTTTTAATGTTTTCCACAAAGAAATATACTTGCTGATTTTCAAGTCTGTAAGTCTAATAGTTCAAAAACGGATTTTTTTTACAACCTTCTTGCCAAACCTTTGGTGCCACAGGTTATTTTTTGTCACTCGACCGAATTTCGATGAAAATTTTAACAAATAATTCTCGTGTTGGTTTAGTGGTAGGGTATAACGCCCTGTTAATACACGGGGGGCTTTTGGGGAGGACCTCGTAATTTTGAACCATGATCAAGTGATGAGGACGACTCCTGAGCTGACATCTCCCTCTCTTAACTTACACACCACATCAACGGGAAAACGTTTGTACCACACGTCAGGCCTTCAGAGGCACAAGCCTCAAACTCATGACACGCTGGCCACGATCCGATACCTTGACCACTAGGCTACCACGACTACCGTGTTGGCTCAGAAGGAGACGGTAGTGAACAATTAAAAATATCTTTTTTTTTTCATAAACTTTTTCAACACAATTTTAAAAAAAAAATTTACATGAAAAGAAATATAATAATAAAAAAAAACGTAGTAATATTAATTTCAACTAGATCAATCAATAAAATTGTTTCTGTAAGCATGCATATTTAGGAGTACAACATAAAACACTTTTTTAACTGAGGTTCTTAATCTCCTCACGAACTTCTTGATTGACTAATGTTAGGGGTTATCCACTTTTTCATTTAAGATAAGATGAAAAAACAGCAGAATTTTTTCCAGAGGATTCCCCCAAAATATATAAATAATAATAATAAAAAAAAAGATTATAAACTCTCTATTAGATATTTAGCAACGTGATTTTTATCAAAACTTTGACCTTTCTTTGGCTCTTGTACTATCTCACGTGTACACATTGACCGGCTTTTTTTTGTTAGAAAATTCCATGATAGATCTCAAACAATAATTATATTGAGGTCACCAACCTTTCTTTCAAGAGTGAACTTCTCTTCGAAAGTGAAAGGACTTTTCCAGACTAAAAATATTTTTATCTTTTCACTGCTTGGGGCGTCAAGTAACAATTACCTACCAACGTTTTTCTGTACGTAACACGTGTATTGCAAAATAGAGAACAGTCGGTATAGAACAAGATTGTACGTAACAAGCGTTGTTCAAAATAATTCTACTTTATGAGATAATTTTCAATGGTAATCGAACCTGTTTCAACTCAAGTAGCACTTTCACTCGACTGGGGAAAACCTGTCAATTTGGAGATTTGGTCTTCATATGTGGATTTTGGGACTATTATGCGTATATCCTTTGATTCGCAAGGTAGATAGGTTTTACGAAACATCGCACATATTGAAACCGTGTAAAACGATTTACAAGATTAAACAAAGGGAAAAAATAGAGGATTGGTTCATTAATTTTTTTAAGATACTTTTCAAAGCTCCTACTTTTTAAAAGTATTTTTTAAACGTAGAAAGCATATCAAAAAATTAACAACGTTTTTACAGATAAATATAACAAAAATAAAGCAAAAAAAGAAGTTTCAAGTAAAATTTTGAATTTTTTTGCCATTAAGGAAACATACCCATGTACATGTGATAGGATTCGGAAGGCTTCTCAAATGGCATGATATGGAATGTTATTATTCTCGAATAATAAGACAGTCTCAAATAGTATTTTAATTTATTATGCTCAGGTAAAGTTTAATAGATCTTGAACTATTCCAAACCCTGATCGTCACTTAACCTTGGTTGAAAATTACTAGGTCCGTCACCAGTATTTCTCTTGTTGCTTTATTGTGAAAGATTCATAAATACTCACTCACCCAATCCATGAATAAAGCACTGCAAGGATTGTACAGCAGATATATTTGTTGTTGTTGTTTACCACCTTCTTATGGAGTCCGATCGAGGCCCAGAAATTCATCGCGGCAAACTGTTAGACGTACGCTGTCGTTTGCCGTAGCTTTGAGCACCATACACGTGACAGTACGATTTGGCCTCAATTCTGAGGAAGAGCACCCTAGGGGTGGTCAGGGACCTCCCACCTCTCTTTCCCTTCCACCAACCTCACGAGAGGAATTGTGGCTCAATGGCTATTTAGAGTACCCCTATGGTGTAAAGGGGCTGTACATTTACAAACATTAATGCCTTCTCCGGGATTCGAACCCAGGCTCAACGTTATCGCAGTCAGCATCACGAACAACTATACCAGATGGCGGTGCAGTGTGTAGCAGGGGTCAGTAGAGAATCAAGCAAAAGTGAAAGCACGTGGGGGAATGGCGATTCCCGGGTTGGTTTTTCCCCCGTTAGTGGCAAAGTGAAGTACTTTGTGCAAGAAGGTTGTTTGAGATGAATATGTATATACATATGACAGATTCTCAACATTCAGTGATAATTAATTTTTATTAATGCTCAATAAAGTATTGTATTGTGTCATCCAAAACAATCGTGTATATAAAATTTCAGTTCAACTGAACGCATTAAAACGTGAGAAAAAAACCTTTTCAAGTTTTGACACAAGTCGCCAAAAATGATGCCACTGTGGCTGTGTGTGTATTTGTAATTCTTTAAATAATTAGTTTTAATCAATTAATTTTTATTAATTATAATTAAATTACTGTATTGCCATCTAAAATAATCATGTGTGTAAAATTTCAGCTCAATTGAGCGCTTTAAAATGTATTTTATTAACGATTGAAAATTCCACCAAGATAAATAAATAAACAACTAATTATTATACATAGAGAGGGTGAGCTAATTGCAGGAATTGAATAACGTTTAAGGTGCGGAGAATTCGTCCCACATACACACACATATATTTTTTCCTGCTTTTTAAGAATAAGTTTTACGATCAGATTTTGTAAATGAATTCAGATTTTCAACATGCAAAATATATTTCACATGGCAAAAGACTGTAATTGTGTTTCTTGTTCTGACTGCACATGACAGCATTACACTCCATTGTAAGGTTATTATGATCCCTTCTTTAAGTTTGCTAGCTTATGCAAAAATTTTAAGTGGAAAAATTGTTTGACTCTGAAACATGCCAGGATGAAAATGAACGATATAAACATTATAAATAAAATTTTTAGTATTAATGAAAAATTATAGTTTTTAAAAATTGAATTTTATCAAAATTATCTAATAAGTTTTTTTTATTGTGTTTTAATACAAACCTCTTACCTAAATGAGAACTTGATAGTAGATCAACAAGCACAAGATTAATGTCAGTTTGTTTTGAATTCAATGGAGAACATGTGACTGCTTCTGTCGTGAGATCGTCATGAATTCATTGACTTTTAATGACTTGACATTGACTTGACGCCCATTGACTTTTAATGCATTACTTTCTTACTAACTCTAAACAAGTAATATAAAAAAAATAAGTTAATTCCGACTTAGGTCAAGAAAGAAAAATTTTATTTTTGTTACTTTTTATTAAATTGACAGTTAATATATATATATATATATATTAAAATATATATAATTCAATCACAACACAGGAATCAATATAAGAAAAAAAAATCGAAACTAAATGAATCCTATAACATAAAAATCCCATTTCAGAATATCAATGGCGAATATAGAAAGACAAAATTCTAACGTTTTCAAACAAAATTAAAAAAATTTATAAAATAAAAATATATAAAATATCCAAGTGCAACCTCGGACTTAGGACCGATAAGTGGGGTTAAACTAGTTATAAAGTCATATGCATAAACATATATATATATATGCTAGTCATATGCATAAACATATATATATATATATATATATATATATATATATATATATATATATATAATATATACATATATATGCTTATCATATGACAGAATCTAATATTAGAGGCAAAACGGGATTTCATCTTCCTTTCTATATAAGGTATTGGGCTATATTTTTTTGTTTGTTTGTTTCTATTTATTCATTCATAAAATTTAATTATTTTAATAAAATAGTATAGTAAAAAAGAAATCACATTCTCAGAAATTAGGCCATCTCAGGTAGGATAGAAAACCACGACCTTTAGATTCAAAATCTAACGAGCTATCCATTGTGCTCCAAGGACACAGCAAACGATTTTCCTTTCTATATATGCCGTTGGATTATTATTTTTGCTACTATTTATTCATTTTTTATTTTAATTAATAAATTAAAATTTGAAAAAACTGTATTAACATCAAGTATCATCCACTAAAAGTTTTTAAAAATGTATTTGAACTTGAATGGATAAATAGTATTTTATGAACGATTGAAAATTTGAACAAGATATATATAGAGAGAGTGAACTCATAGTAGGAATTAAATAAAGCAGTGGATGAGTATCTTCTAATAATGCCAATTACTTCTTACGTGTTTTCGGAACAAAATTTTATTTGGAATCCCCCCGAACGTGACGGGAATACATTCATTGTTCTCTAAAATCCACACGATTTGATTGTTTTCCGCAAAATATTTGTTACTCTACCTCTATTTTGAGCTTCATAAAAGTGCTATTTTTGTGAATTACTTTGTTTTTCAGATACAATGAAAAAACAACTTTCTTCAAAGAAGTATTATTTAAATTGGCCAAAATTATCAAAAAAAAATTCATTTTTTTTTTTTTTTTTTTTTAGAAAACTTTTACTAATACTATTATATTTCTGTAAAAATTTCAGTAGAATTAACAAGTTATATGCAAAGAAACTTAACGTTATACTGAAAAGGTAGGATGATAGTTTTCTACATTGAAACCTAATGATATTCAAAGTCAGTGTCAAAAACGCAATCTAATAAATTAATTCTATATTGCACCTTAAATTGAAAAATTCTAAATGTTACGAGCTCTAACTTTTATAAGAGGTTCATATAACTTAGCCTGAATAGTTTTCAGTTCGCATAAGCATTTATTTTGATAAACATTTACAAATTTTGAAGTTATTAAAATTTTTAGACTTTTTTTCTCATAAATTTCCAAACTCCCCTTGGTGTCTTAAAACTTAAAAAATGCTCTCGAAAAAAATTATTTATTTTTCAATTCCTACTATTATATATATATACTATATGTATGTATGTTATTTTCTGGCAAAATGCTTACAACTCTTGTAATAATTGCTGTTACAACATATGGTTATTTTTCAATACTTTCTCTACATTGAGTTTAGTTCTGATTTATATATATATATATATAGTTCACACTCTCCCTATATATATATTTATATGTATATCTTGTTCAAATTTTCAATCGTTAATAAAATACTTTTTATTCATTCATTCAAGTTCAAATACATATTTTAAACTTGTACTGGATGACACTTGATACTTTTACAGTTTTTTCAAATAATAATTCATTAATTAAAGGAGGTGGGTAAAGATCGGCCTTTTTTAGCCCATCAAAATCATGAAAATTCAAAGTATTTATTGGAGCTATATTATGTTTATGTGAACTTGGTATTGATCTTTACTTTTATTCTAGAATAGTAAGGGGAAAAAATAGCAAGTCACATAAAAAAGTCATCAAACTTAGCAAATTCTTTAAGTTTTGTTATTTTAAGAGCTTTTTCTAACTTTACACTTTTAAAAAAAACATGTTAAGCGCTTTAAGCACCACTATATTTTTTTTTCTCTCAAATATTACAATAATAAGGCTTTTAAACTGACATTCATTTGTTTTGTTGCATCAAGCGCGTTGATGTGATACAAAACAAAATAGCTTGTCCGCGAATCGGTCAGACTGTTTGGAACTTTTAGAAGAAATGGACCTAGTACCTAAAATACCTTTATTCCTCGACAAGCAAGCACAGTTGTCTACAGAAGATGCTAACGAGACACGTTTGGTGACCGATTCGTTGGGTAGTTGAAGCAGTAAACGGCCAGCTCAAGAACTGGAGAGATTTAAATAATATTATCTCAAATGTCCAAATACCATGTATTGGAGATTATGTTAAAATCGTCTGTGCAATTCTTAATGCTTTTCACCCAATAAGAATTAACAATATTGAGGACGATAATGTAATTGCCCAACTAATACTAGATTTAGTGAAGAAGCCTAATTACTTACAACAAACAGTTGAAAAGAAAATGGCTGGGTAAGAAAAAGGGCGATATGGACTTTTTAAGTGACTCTGATCTTTCAGATTTTCCACGATTACCATGAAAAGAGCTACGATATTTAACTCTTGGGATATATCAGCTTAAGCAAAACTGATCATACACTTACAAACACCTTAATCAATCGGGGCTGTACTCTCTTTACGTAAATCAAGAAGATTCCTTAGTGGTTCGACTCCAGTTGAGATCACGACACACTTCAAAAGTATATAACATACGGATAAGAACAGGTGTAGGTCATAATCCAAACATTGAATGGTATTGTTAGTGCAAAAAAAGTTGGTGCTAGAGATGTTGGTTGTTGTGCGCATGTTGCATCTGTGCTTTGGTATTTGGGATATTGGCGCCATAATTACACCCAGACAAAAACACCAAGTCTTGGATATGCTGATACACTACAAGGCGTTGCTACTGAATGGTCCAGTGACGATTCAGCTAGCGAAAGCGAGAAGGAAATATAATCGAAGACATCTGTTACGAACAGTTTAACATTTTTTTTCCTGTTTTCTCTATTTAATAAAAGATTTTTTTGAAAGAAACCTAACATTTTCATTTTGACTGAGTATCAGTGATAAAAAAAATTACGCAATATGAATTTGCCGATGGGCGAAAGAAGGTCGATCTTTACCCACCTCCTTTTATTCTTATTTTTTTAATTTATTCTGCGTTATTTCAAACGAAGTTGAAACTAGCTACAACAGATGGCGCCAGTAAGTTTTTCTAACGAATTTTTTCATGGCTTCAAATACTTATTTTTTTATTCATCCACTCAAATTTGAATACATTTTTTTCCTTGTAGTGGATGACACTTCATGTTAATATTTTTTTTTCAAATATTAATTCATTAATTAAACTTAACTAACTAAAATAAAATTTTCTTTGTTGACCAAAGGAGGAATTGACTTATAATTTTTTTTAATTACTTGTTAGGCATCAATTTAAAAAGAATAATTCTTGATATTCTGAATAGGATCATAACTAGAAAAGTAAAAAACAGTTTTATTTATTTTTTCTACTAACTTTTGACGATATGTGCGCGTGTTTGAATATTTTTTGTAATAGAGTACTTTTGGTTCTTCATTATATAAATTTTTTCACCAAAACGTATTTTCGTTTCGCAAATTTGAAGAATTTTCGTCCTCCATTTCTTTTTGTGGATTCTTCCCCGAGGAAGGGGTGGTAGATTATTTTGATTTTGTGCTTCCAAAACGACAAAAAAAAGTGCTCGTTATTCGAATAAAAGTATTATAATAGTCACAAAAAATTTTAAAATAGATTTGGTATAATAATTTAGAAAAACAATTATTTTTGTAATTTGATTTTCTTTACTTTAATATAAATTGTCTATTTATATAACTTATCCAATGCATAGTTTTAATCGTAATTTACTTTAACTACAAAGTGTTAATCGTAATTTACATTAATTACAAAGTTTTAATCGTAATCGAATTAGAATTATCAAAACTTTTCTGGTGGAAATGAAAAAGTATGGGAAATTTTCTGTTGGGAAATTTGATTTTATAAGAAAGGCTACACTTGATAATTCAAAAGGTCGCAAATCTTCTGAGTCCCTGAACTAGATTTACACAAGGACAATTATTAATCTAACCGCAGCATCAGATAACAGAATGATACTCAAGTTGATACATCACTCTCCTAATTTTTTTTTATATATCATTCAATATTTGATTCGCAGAAATTGATTCCTTTTTTTCCCATCATTTGACTGATAATATTTAGTAGAATCAGTTTTGATTTTGTAGCCTTTAAAAAAAAATTGACGTTTAGATATCGTGTTATAAAGCAGTAATAGATCTAGCTGCAATATATATATATTGTGAAGCTACTTTATTGAACTTATAACGTCTATGCTATAATTCGTATCAGACATGTAAAACGATTCCATGTTAATAGTTTTAGGTTATATAAATACAAAAAGGGGTTGTAAGAATGAAACAGCTACTGGCGCTTCGCTCAATTATCAAGAACTGAACTCTATTAGAAAATCTATAAACCAAATTTATACTATAGCGTATTCCACCTAAGCACCAATGGTACACAGGAGCATCCTCTGGCTCTCTGCTGGATATCAAATGTGACCGTGACTCCCAGACTGTTCTGGCTAGACCAGGGGTACTCAAAATTTTTCTGCAGGACCGCATACATATGTTAGCTACTTCACGGGGGCCGCATTCGTATGATGGCTATTTCATGCGGGCCGCATAATGAGGATGAATGGAGGGCTGGGGAGAAATGCTTTAAAATGTGGAAAATTCATCAAAATATTGAAACTCCTATTTTGCTTTTTTTAATTATTATTTTTTTTGTATTTTTTTTATTTTTATTACTAAATTTTTCTAAATTGGAAGCATTTAAGAGTCATTCCTTCACAATTCCTGCATCAGTAAACAGTTTCCACATAATTAACAATAATATAACAAACTTCATAAGATGCCTTTGTTACCGCTGTGACACTACCACTGACAAAACACCTTTTTGCTGTTGTAAAGATTATTTAAAAAAAAGCCTGTTTATCATCTCTTGAAAGAGATCGAGGAAAAGTATCATTGAACACAATTCCTGTTTATTGGTATTTTTTAAATACAACACTTTTGTGACAAATCAAACAATTACTGACCCATGCTTGTTTTTCACTACAAAATAAGCAGCATCCCAATCTTCTTGAAACAACCTATTTTCTACGAATATTTTTCGCTTATAAGATATGAAAGAAAGTTAAAAATTAATTAAACTCATAAAATGGACGCTGCCCCACTGTTTTCTATTATCACTTATTAGAAAAAATATCAACTCGCACCCATACGACATCAACAGCAGAAACCAAATTTGATATATTTGATTTCTTAACAAAGAATTTCCCGCCAAATTTTCATATATAAATGAATTTCTCAGAACAATAGGCCATGACCCGGCCACTTAAAAAGGCCCGGTGGGCAGCAGGTTGAGTATCGCTGGGCT